GAGCGAGGCTGTGGGACTGTGGAGGAACATGGCTCTGCCTGGGGGCTCCGGAGTGGCCATGCAGTGCCCCTGGCCCCACTGGGATGGTCCCACCAGGAGGAGAAGGAGGGTTAAGGTGCAGCATGGCATGGCTGCAGCTGCACTGGCTGCTGCCCCGGGTGCCAGCTGGGGACCTTCCCTGCTGCGTCAGTGACCTTGGCCGCGTCCTGCCAGGAAAGCAGTGCTGGCTTTCCAGCGCTGCCAGCCCCAGGGAGGGGGTGGGGGAGCCCTACGTGGGAGCCCAGTGCATGAGATGCTGCTCCAGGCTGGGGGGCATAAAGGAGCCCAGGAACCCTCCAGGGCACTGTCACTTGGGGGCCACAGGACTCCCCCACTCCAGCAGGGTAGGGGTGCACACATGGTTCCCCCCGAGGGATCCCAGTGCAGGTCTGGGGGTCCCGTGCACCCCCAGGCGGCAGAGGGGGAGGAGGCACCGGGAATTGCACGAGGAGATCGGAGGAGTTCCTGCTGGGGGTGGTAGGGAGCAGTCGGGGGTACCGGGGTTCATGGGGGCACTAGGAGGGATGCACGGAGGTAACAGGAAGGTACCCAGAGATCGGAGTGCCCGAGCGTGTCCACGAGGCCGCGCAGAGGGGCCGGGGGAAGCAGCAGCGAGGGGCGGGGGCATCGGGGGCGGCATGGAGAGCCAGGGGGCTGCTTAACGGGTACCAGGCAATGCCCGAGAGTTGTTCGGGTCTACCGGGGGTTTCCAGGGGGATACCGATGGGTGCCCCAGGGGTGCTGGGGATGTGCCTAAGGGGTGACGGGGGGTTAACGGGCGGGGAGGTATCGCGGATTGTCCAGAGTTGCCGAGAGCTTCCAAGAGGCTACCAAGCGGTGCCCGAGGGTTCCCGGGAGATGCTGAGGGAGCCTGGGTGGTACCGAAGGTTGCCAGGGGGTTTCAAGGGAGTACCAGTCAGTGCCCGAGGGGTATCGGGGGGTGCCAGAATAAAGGAGGGTACCGGGGATTGCCAGGGAGTTCCAGGGGAGTACCGGCAATGCCCGGGTGGTACCGGAGGTTGCCGGAAGGGTGCCCGAGTGGTATCGGGGCGGGAGGGGGAGGGGTGTGCCATGTGGTATCAGGGTTGCCGGAGGTTTCCAGAGAGGTACCGGGGGTGTAACGCGGATTTCTAGAGGTGGCGGGGAGGTAACGGGGGGTCCCGGGAGTAATAGAGGAGTCCCGAGGATTGCCGGGCGATGCCCGGAGGGTGCTGGGGCTGCTCTCCGGGGCGGGGCGGGGCGGTACCTGCGCGGCCACCGCCTCACCTGGGGCGGGACGGGGCGGGACGCGGCGGGCGGCAACCGAAGAGGCGGCGGCGGCGGCAGAAGCAGCGGACGGGCCATGCGGGGGCCGCGCTCCGGGCTCTGCCCGCTCTCCGTCTTCATCCTCTCCCTCCTCCCCCAGCTCCTACCGGCAGCCGCCCCCTCCCCGGCCCCGCCGTGCGCCCCCCCGGGGCTGCGCCGCGGGCTGTTCCCCGCATCAGGTAACTCGCACCGTCGGGGCGCGGCGGCACCGGGACCCCCGGGGCTATCCGAGGACGGGCTGGGGCCGCGATCGGGGTTACGGGCGCTGTGGGGGCGGCAGGGCCCCCCTTGCTGCCGGATCGAGCCCACTTTGCCCCCGGCCGTGGGGCCGCTGCTTTTCGCGGAGACCTCGCACTGCCCCGGGTGTGGGATTGGCCGGAGACCCCAGTGCGGGACTGGCGGGGGTCTCTGGGTGTGCGACTGCGCCATGGGACCGGCTGGGCTCCTGCGCCCTAGGGCTATGAGGCTCGCTATAGGGCTGTGCCCCCCTCCTAGGGCTCTGGGACTTGGCCATGGGGCTGGCGGTGCCCTGTGAGACTAGTGGTGCCTGTCTGGCCCCACAGAGCTGGTGGCGGCGATGCCGGCGCCTCTGGCCCAGCCGTGGGGCGCCCGCCGGCAGCGGGGCTGGGTCCCCGCAGGGTGGGTGCCCAGCGCCGCTCTGGCCATGGGGTGGGGTGCTTCGAGGCCACCCTTCTCCGGCCGTGGCGTGCGGGGTCCAGCTGGCCCGAGGCCGGGCAGGGGCCCGAGCTGGGGCAGGAGCTCAGGGCTGGGTAGGGGTCTAGGCTGGGCAGGGTCTCTCTGCCAGCTCTTGGCTCGGTGCTGGCGCTTGGCCTGGGCCTGTTGCCCTCTTTGCTGGGAGGCTCCTGGGGGATTGGGGCTGCCCGGGAACGCGGCCGGAGCCAGCGCTCGGCTAATGGCCGCGGGGGCACTAAAAGCTCTCCTTGGCGGTAAGTGCCAGAGAGAGGCCTCGACCTCTGCTACCACATCCCGCTTCTCATCTCGCTTCCATCGGCTGAGCCTGTCAGGCATGGAGCTGAGCACTGCCAGGCCTCTGCCATGGGCAGGGGCTGGGGTCTTGCCACGCCACTGCGATCCCCTTCCGTGGGCAGCACATGGCCTAGGCACCGACCGTGCGGCTCCGCCTCGGCACCCAGTGGGCGCGGTGCCATGTGGGCTCTGCAAGGAGGGACCCTGGGGGCACAGTGGGGTTACCCCCTGTGCTGCCTGGCCCTTCGGTGGAGAAGTGACGTGTGGCACAGATGGGGACTGAGGGCTCCCCACGGCGGGGGCTGGGGGCTTCCCCGGGCTCCTCTTGCCCCAGACCTGTTTCCCAGGGTGACTGATGTCCCTCCAGCCCCCCTTACCGCGTCCATCGCAGCAGGGAGGGGCCCCGGCACTGCCTTCGGGGGACGGCCGCTGCGCCCCACATGGCCCCACCTTCACCCCCGGGCTCGCTGCCTGCCCAGTGTGGGGCAGCCATAGAGTACAGCTTTCCCTGCCTCATTCCATGCTTTCTGCAGCCCCCCCAGCCCCGCTCCCCGACCCCCCCGGGCCGCTCGGCCGCCCAGAGCTGGCTCAGCTCCGCTAATCCCCTAATCCTGGCCCCGGGGGGGTGCGGAGTCGGGGCCGTGTCCAGCACGGGGGATGCAGCGTGGGAGGAGGGGAGGGAGATTCAGAGCCCAATGTCCTGGCCACGGGGGGTTGGGAGCCCCTAGGGGTGTGACACACCACCGGGAGGGGGCTGGGGCAGGGCTCTGCCCGCCCAGGAATTTCCCATCATCTGTAAAACAAAGCCGAAACTTCCACCGAAACTTCCACTGCGCTCCCGTACGGCTCCCGGTGTCCCTTACCCCGCTTCCACTGTCCCCTGCCCCACTCCCACTGTCCTCTGCCCCACTCCGCCTCGGGACTCTGGGGGGTTGCGGGTCCTGGAGCTGGTGGTTGCTGCCGGGGGACAGGTCCCCTCCCAGCCTCCTGACCCTCCACCTGCGCAGGGAGCTCCAGAGGCTGCACGGGACCGTGCGGGACCGAGGAGCGTGATGTCGGGGTGCAGCAGGACACGGGCCCTGTGCAGCTGCCAAGGGTGGGCAGAGCACTCACCGTACCACTCCCAGATGCTGGTTCCCGCTGGGATGCCACTGGCCAGCCAGACCCTGCTCCAGTTCTCATGCAGAGCAGGCGCTCCCCCCAGGTAATCCTGCCCTGCCGTGTTCCCTATCTCCTGCTCCCCAAGCCAGCTGTGCCCTCACTCACCCTCATCCCACAGGAGCTTCCTGGGGTTCATGCTGCTCTCAGGAGGCAGAAGAGGGATTGGGTGATCCCCCCCATCAAGGTTCCTGAAAACGAGAGGGGCCCCTTCCCAAAAAAACTGGTTCAGGTAAGAGGAGGTCGATCTGAGCTGGGGGTCATGGCACAGAGGTGGGTGCTGGGGTGTCTGTTCCCGCTGCATGGGAGTGGGGTGTGATGCGGTGGAGGGTACTGACCTCTTCCCTGTGTGTCCTACCAGATCAAATCCAACCGGGACAGAGACACCAAGATCTTCTACAGCATCACAGGGCAGGGAGCAGATGCCCCCCCCGAGGGCATCTTCACCATTGAGAAGGAGTCAGGCTGGATGAAGGTGACACAGCCGCTGGACCGCGAGCACATCGACAAGTACCACGTAGGTCCCTGCTGAGGGGCACTGGGGGGTGTCAGAGTACCATGCTAGATCCCCTACTCACCCCCCTGCCCCACAGCTTTTCTCTCACGCCGTGTCTGAGAATGGGAAGCCAGTGGAGGAGCCGATGGAGATCATTGTGACGGTGACGGACCAGAATGACAACAAGCCCCAGTTCACGCAGGAGGTGTTCAGGGGCTCTGTGCCAGAGGGAGCTCTGCCGGGTAGGACCCTGAGCCTTGGGAGAGCTCTGCATCCTGCCAGCCACATCCCTCAGGGACAGCCCTGGGACTGTCCGGTCACAACCCCCTCACCAGGACATCCCCGTCCCCAGGCACCTCCGTGATGCAGGTGACAGCCACGGATGCAGACGACGCAGTGGAAACCTACAACGGTGTCATCGCCTACTCTATCCTGAGCCAGGAGCCACGGGAGCCCCATTCCCAGATGTTCACTGTCAATCGAGGCACCGGCACCCTTAGTGTCATCGCCAGCGGCCTTGACCGGGAGGTGCGTTCTGCAGTACTGCAGGGTGGGTGTCCCAGCCCTAGGCAGGGGCTGACGAGGTGTCTGTCTGTCTCTCCATCCCTGGCAGCGTGTGCGGGAGTACACACTGACGGTGCAGGCGGCTGACCTGGATGGCGAGGGACTGACCACCACGGCGCTGGCCGTCATTGAGATCGCCGATGTCAACGACAACGCTCCCGAGTTTGACCCCAAAACGGTAATGTGGGCCCCCCCGCCAGGTGGGACCCTCCCTGGTGCCCTCCGGGCCATGGTGCTGACAGTG